GTTCCATCACAAGGCGCTAACACAAAGAAGAGTCGTCGCTGCTGCGCACGATAGTTAAAAGTTCCGGTGATTGTGCTCGTCGACATCACTTGCGGAACACAGTCTTGCAACAAAGAATGTAAAGAAAAATTTCAGACGCCAACAGGGCTCACTGAATCATGGCTGACATCTATGTTGGTTCCTCCCCAATCCTCTTCTCCTTTGAAAGTGGCAGGAAAAGCTAGGGGACGCAGGTTGCTTCAAGTTCTCACTTAGGTCGTCGCAAAGCCTTAGCTAGGTGATGCGGGACACAGTCTTGCAACGAAGAATGTAAAAAAAAAAATCAGACGCCACCAGTGCTCATGGGATCATGGTCGATGAGCTTTGTTGCCCCCCCCCCCCCCCTTCATTTGAAATGGGTATGGGAAGCTAGGGAACTCAGGTTGCTTCAAGTCTGCACTTAGGCCGTCGCAAAGTGGTGATTCTAGGTGGTTCATACGTTGATTCTCGGCCCAGAGAGGTTCTACTTAAAACCACAGACAGTCGCAGACGCGACACGGCTGTCCAAACTCCACAGGCAGAGACTCCCCCAGAAAGCAAGCGTTCGCAATTCTGACGCATTTACAGGCACGTTGGCGTTGGCGTTCCGTCGCTTCGCGATGTTCTCGCAGCCGCCGTCGCCTTTCGTGTTACCCAGTATTGACACCTAGTACGTACTCGGGTGTCCGGCTCGCCACCGTAGCATTGGCCTAAAGGCCTGACCACACGTAACCGTCGCAGCGCGTGGCTTTCTTTACGCGGCGCCGCACTCTCTCCCTAAAGGGAGAGAGAGGGCGCGCACCATCTCCTAGCCATGCGTCCTCTTTTTTTTTTTTTTTTTTTGCACAGCGCCGCGTCAAGAAAGGTACGTGCTGACGCGCTGCAATCAGTACGTGTGGTCAGGCCTTAAACTGCTGCCCGCTTCAGTTTTAGTCCGCCAGGGGGGCGAGGGGTTGTGGGACTTACCCAAGTTCTACGTCACATACCCTTTGCTAATGATGATAGTTTTCTCATAGGCCACACGCACAAATAGCGGCTAGCTTAAGTAGTTCCACTGTTAGAATAAGTTAGAATAAAATTAGCACAAAATTCATGGTTCTTTTAATTGGTTTGTTCATTTAGCACGTATTGTAGCCTAAAGACAAAAGAAGGGGCCAAAAAAGGTAATATGAAACTATTCAAAGAGTTTAATTATAGCATTGAAAAACAAACACATACTAACAGTTAAACATAATTAAACGTACAGTTACAGAAACCATTGCACAAATTTGCAACAATTGGCACACGACCCATTAAGTAAATACTAATTATGGAGTGATCCTAGGTCTTAAGGCCCACAATGTCTACGTTGAAGTCACAGACAAGTATAAAGGACAGACGGGCGCACGGATGGACTAAGGACAGACGGACGGCGTAGGTGGCTTTTTCACAGCTGTGTAGTAGGTGTTATGATACGAGTGTGGACGCCAGCACATCACCGGACAAGGCTACACCTTAAATAAATAGCTTCGCCCCTACAAGAGTTATAATTTCCAAAAGCAAGCTTGGAAGAGACAGAAGCATGTGTGTCTTTCGAGATACCACGCAGTAACACTGGTGTTGCCCACAGTTGGCTCTACCTCAATACGATACGCCTACTTTGGTTTATACCGCACGCTTAGTAGCTCTGCGGCAAAGCGCGCTTTACAGTAGCCCACAAAGGTAATTTTGACGTGTTACTTCAACTCGGGAATCTCGCGCAAAAAAAAAAAAGAACAGCACAAAACAAGAGACCGTGCGAGTCTGCATTTATTTTGCCACTGTTTTTGTTAGTTTAGAGCCACGTGGGAGAGCGTTTCCAGGGGACACCTTCTTCTAACGCATTCTGAGCTCTCAATCGAGATGTGCGCGTCTGAAAACCAACTCGGAGATTACGCGTTGCCAGTATAAGAGCCTTTCAATCTTCAATAGCTTACCATGGTCAGACTGGTTGATGTATGTGATTGGTTCAGATGAGCTACGTAGTACACTGAAACCCCTTATAGTATTATTGACATGGTTTCGTCAACAGTTTCTGACGTGTTATCAACATCATTACGCTCTTCAAGAAACGGAAGGGTCCATCCCGCGACCATTCGAGTCAGCATTCAAATACCATTAACACCCGGCCTCCATGATTGGTAACGTAGGTACTTCAATCGCATACGCGTCGCATATGACTGGGTCCCGGCTGGGTACCTATCCGTTATTGGTCAGGCAACGTGACACGCTCCGATACTTCTCGAGCACGTGCTGCGTCAGCACACTACAGGACATGACACCTTTTCACATTACTCTCAGAGCACACGTGAGAGCGCCCGTCACTCTGAGATAAAGAGGCTACGTCCCCTGCTGCAGTGTCCATAAGACACGCCAGTGCGACTACCTACACGGATCAGGCGGAGTCGCTGCCGCTAGAGTTCGCTGCCGCTCTTCCTATAGGCGCTGCGGTCGGTAGCGCTGCCCGAGTCGTCGTGCCCAAAAGCCTGACTGTACGGCAGCATCTTCGAGCTACTTATCGCGGCTCCGGTTTTTAATTACATCAGATTTAAGATTCATAGATTAACGGCAGCGCTCTATGACGAAAGTAAATGACCTGGTATAAGAATGTTTTAACCGCGTGCCGCATATGCATTTACTGTTGCGTTCTATCTCCGCCAGTGCTAAATCATAAACGATTCACTTATTCCTTTGTGAATTAAGCGTCGGCCATGAAAAACACAACACTCTAGACATGTTGCGTAGATCAAAGTTATTATTAGTTGGTACTCATTCAGGACACAACAAAAAAATGGGAATCCTTAATTCTTCTCCTTTAAAAGTTGAACATGATAACAATATCCTGTCCTATGCGTACTTCAACCACTTAGTGAATGAAATCTTTTCGACCTTGCTGTACACCCACTACATGACCTGCAGGGAGTAGACACATTAACATGTGTGCCTTTTGTAGTACCGGAGAGGCTTTAAACAATGAAGTCATTATGATAATCACACGTTCTGACGCCCAATGGCAATGTACGCTTGTAACAAGCATTATTACTGCAATAGTTCACGTTGTATTGTGAAACATGTATACAGATTGTGTGTGTTTATAAAACATGAAACTTACTTTCATGGCGTTTTCAAGAAGAGGAAAATAGTTTTAGTGTACTCACAAGCAGACGCGTGCCACGCGAGGGACCCTCTCAGAACCAAAGTTTTTTTTTCGATTTGTTTTGGTCTCGCACAAGATGGTGATTTTTCGCTTGCCATGACCGACGCCGACACCGGAATTTTTTACGAAACAAGCTCTTTAATGCTATCACGTTAAAGCTGACAGGCACAGGTGTATGATGCGCAGCGTGTATCATAATGCACAGGATAAACTATGGTACGTATCCACCACACTGTTTTACTATTAAATATACAAACTTGAACACTGTTCTTTTTAAAGGATACATATGAACGTGCTTACTGAGCTAATATTTGTTTCCTCTATATTACTATCCCGCAGACCACCAGCTCAGAGTGGTGAACCGGGTGTGCATCTGCTTGACCACCACACCCTTTCCGGCTCTTTCTTCTCTCGCTCTCCTCTGAACATTTTGAACTTTTGCCATTAACTTATGTTTACCTTATAAATATGGTCGTCATCATCGCAAAACTTCAAGAATTGTGCCGTTCCGAAGTTATGAAAAACGTTACGTGTCCGATTGAGCGATCCCATTCTACTATAGAAGGCGAAGCCCAAGCGCCCGCTCAGTTCATTCTTTTTTCTTTCTTTAAACAGTGAAGACAACACATCATGATGTCTCCGGCGCAGTTGGGAAGTTCCTGCGATAGTTATGATTGAAACTAATTATGAGGCAGAATACGAGAAATTTCGTATGAAGGATGGGGGTCTTTGTTAAACTGCTACACTGCGCCAAATCAAGATAAAAGAAGCAGAAAGCGTGAAGGCAGTGATTATGCTGGTCAGATAGGTGTTATATATTAAATCTTGAAGCAGTACCAACGAACCGAACCAACCTTGAAGTTGTAAAAGTGTCCTAGAACATTCTTTCAACACTAATAAGTGCGCACGAAGGCCCAACAAATGACGCAAAAAACGTCTTTGAAGACATTCCAACCATTGGCGCAAAGCGGTTGATGCCAACCGTTGACGGCTGCTGAGTGGAAGTTCTTCCAGGCACAGGAGAGGCAAGAACATTACTTGCTTTGAACGTTTTAACTGGAGGACTTCAATAAGCTGCGGCAGTGCGGCAAGTGTCTTCACGATGGACTTTCCAGCCAGCGTTTAGAAGTATGAAACAATCTATCACTTGTGTAAAGTTGAGCTTACGTGTGCGCCCGCTCTTATGCTTCTAAGCTCTGTCGCTTTTAGTTCCCCCCCTAGCTACAGCTACCATAGAGTCCGGCAACTTCGTCCGGGCTCATTTTTTTGTGTGTTTTAGAGCTGGGCAATGCATATATACGTTCGGAGGGCAGTGAAAGCCATTTTATTTCTGCACAGAGGCAGTTGCGAATAGCGAGCACCCCGTAATGATTTTGTCGAATCAGGGGAAGGCTGGCTACGGCAGGATATGAACAAAAGCAACCTGTGCACAAGGTAGAACGTCGAAGGTGTAAAGGACAGTTGATGTCACTTTCAAGTGGACGATAGGGGCGCATCACTACACGGGCACGCACACAGAGCCCATTGCCCAATCAGCATGCTGTGAACGCGAGCGCCCCCTACTTCGACTCCCACTCTTCCCTACTTCCCCCGCTCCTCGCCTCTTTCTACCGGATGTCCTCCAGAGGTCCTGGTGGCGTCACTGCTCCCGTATCGACTCCCGTCGGACCATGCGTCGGCAAGAGGCAAACAAGCAAGAGGGAGCCGACGAGGCGCCGAACGCTGGCGCTGCCGGCGCCTCTGACGGGGCGCTCGGGGTCTCATCGATTTAGGGGCCGCCGTCGAGGGGGGTAAGCGCCCGGGGAGGATGCCGGTCGCTGGCGGAGGCCGGGAAGCCACCATGAGCGTCCGGCGTGTCCGCGGCTCCTTTAGGGGCTCGCTGCGACAGTACGTGAGCGGCGAGACGGCCAAGCGGAACCCGGTGAGACACTTCCAATGGGTCTACCAGAACGACGAGTGGCACATCGCCTACGGTAAGCGAGCGGATCGTGCTTTTCGAGAACGCGCGGCCTTTTTCGTCTCGTTCCTCGGCTCCCCCCTTCCTAGCGCTACCGTACCAGCGGCTGCGCGCGTGTGTGCAGCCCGTTGAAGTAGCAGCCACCCCGCGCTCTGCCTCCCTCTCTCTTCTTTCCTACCTCTTTCTGTGAAACATGAAGGAACGGAGAGAAAAAAAAAGGATGAAAAATTACGTTCTAACCATTGTTTCTCGTTTCCACCTCCCGCGTCCTTGATTTTTTTTTATCTTCCATGCATCCTGGACATGTGCCCTCCACTGGGACCCCCTTGCAGACGACGGAGATGAGGTGTCCCTCATGTTCGCCAAGTTTGAGGTAAGTGTGTCGCCTGTCCCGCGCGTCTTCCATTTCTCGTTCGCGCTTCCTTTCTCCTCTCTCTTGTTCTCGTTCTTTCTTTTTTTATCGTCTGCTCGCTACTCTCCTCCCTCGATCCCAGCTGCATCTTGCTCCTCCCTTCTTGCGTGCAAAATAAAAAAAAAGAGACAGAACTGCTTTCGGGAAGTATATCAATTGTGTACGAGTGAGGACGCGATATGCGTCTGCCATGCCAAGCTTTGAAACAGTTATACCTATCCCCACCAAGTTCACCTTCAAACCACGCTCTGAATCACAGCGATCATCCCTCTACTGAGGAGAAGAGGGATAGAGAGAGAAGGCCAGACAAGGGGGCCTCGGAGGTCGCACAGAGGTTTCGCTGGGGCGAAAGGGGAGTCCGGGGATGATTGGCGTACAGCAGGTTCTTTTTGCTCAGCAGAACGGCTACGGGTTATAGCGTGCTAACGTTTGTTGATCCGTGCGCGGGTGTCTCGAAAACCTTGCGGAAATGGTGCTGCCTGCTGCGATAACGAGGCACGCGATGCGGCCCGTTGTGCGAGGCCCGTAGTCGCCTCCCGTGTTGCTTGCTGTCCAGTCCCTCGTGCGTAAAGAGAGGTCAAGATGCCATGCGAATACAGCCGGCGGTCGCTCTTTCATGTCAATCGGTGGAAAAGGATGTTAATGTTTATCCTTCAGCTGGCATGGAGAGAGGGGAAGACGAGGTTTGACTGAAAGTTTAAGTGTCGAGAGAGCTCGAATAGCAATAATCTCTCATCGCTTCTTCGTAATCGTTGTTGTCTTTCTTTTTTTTTTTCCTTTTTCGTCATCATCAACACAACCTTCACCAGCAACACCAACGCGAAATCTTGTAGCGAGGCTCTCGCTCTCCGAAACCTCGCGTCATTCGAAGAGTTTATGAGCAACCAGAATACGAGGGCCCCGTTTCGCCATCGGCTGCCGTGTTTGCTTGAAGTCGAAGCGGAGCCGATCGTATTGCTCTATCGACTCTGTGGAGAATACGAGCGCGCCGAGGCTTTACGTTTTTACGGTGCAATCGAGCGGAGGAAAAGGGTTGTTGCGAAAAAGCGAAAGGTGCTTGGATGGCGGAGCGCAATCATAAGCGACGAAGCGAGGTACTTATTAGAAAAGAAAAAAAAAACTGCCTGCAGAAACGATATATACGAGACACGGAAGGCATATAGGATACATAGCGTCGTCGTGAAAAGATATGCGAAATACCCGTGTGTATACGTTGCCTTCGAGGGAAAAGAATTGGGATGTGGGGATGTGCTTGCTACGTGCGCCTGCGAAATAGAATAGGAGGAAAAGGGGGGGATGTGGGGATGTGTTTGGCTGTCGCGAGCTTGACGAAACGCGTTTTTCCGCCGCGCTGAGTGCGTGATTCTGTAACTATAATGTCGAAAAGGCTGATTAATGCGGACGATAGAAAGGTTGGAGAGGCGCGACTTCCCTTCATGTGCATTCGTGATCGTGTGACAAGAAAATCGTTACACGCGCCTAAATGTATACGACTGTGTGTGTATTGTATGGTAGCTCGTCTCATTCGGCTGTAATAACTGACCCGAACGAAACGTTTACCGCACGCGCTCGCGAACGTCGTAAATCCTTCGACCTCCCCCCCCCCCCTTTTCGACTCCCCCTCTCATCGACCTCCCCCCCCCCCTCTCAGCAAAAAAAAAAGACGAAATAGATCGACCCCGGCGACTCTCTTCATGTTCCTCTTCTTCCCTTGAACGATGAATACGCGTGTCTACGCGAGGGGGCCTTACGCCGAATTACGACACAAATTGCCGTTTTCGTTTTTGTTGTTCTTGATTCTCTCAACAGGCGCGGGCCTGTTGCCAGCAGCGTACTCCTACGAATCATTTCCGACGTCGTCTAATCGGAACCGGGCCTCTAGTACAAGGAACGTAAAAAGCGACCTTCAGATTTTTTCTGGAACGATAATCACGCTCTCGTTTTCTGTTTATGACACAGCGGGCAGTGTCTGTAACCCAATGTGGCATCGGTGCGGTGGTGGTTTTCTTGCGGAGCTTAGCGAATAGCTCTGTTATCACGGTGCTTGACTGGAGGAGACCGAGACAGCATGGGAGCTCTGCAAAACAGTTTGTTGCTTTCTTAGACAAAACAAAAATTACTCTCCTTCACTCACGATATCCCCTTCCCACTCCCCCCCCCCCAAAAAAAAGAGAGAGTAAAACCACGCAGATAAACCAGGCTCGCCGCACTTTCGCTTCGCTGACGCATGTGACCTACTTTCTTCCCTGATTGTTTTCGGCCAAGCGCTGCTTTCAGAGGAGAACGACGCTTCATTTTTGTTTTCCTTCGTTGTTTCCAATGCTTCGACAGAGAGGTATATGCGCTCGCTGTGCGGCGATAGGTCGTTCTTCTTCCTGAATCGATTTGCTCGCGAATGAAATGGCTCGAAGCTACACAGAATGCGCGCGGTGTGTGCCTACCCCCGACGCCCTTCTTCCCTCTTCACCCTGATACCTATTGCTGTGTGTCTACGTAGTTATTTACTGTTTCATCTTTCTATCTGTTTTAGTCTGCCGCGTGCTTGCGTCGTTTTCGGCCCGGTCCCGGCACAGGCGACGTCCTGACGTGTGAATGCGAGACCTTTTCGAAGACGATCGGCCTTGCGATGGCGAGAACGTGCGGTGGCAGCAGTTACGCTGCGCAACAAATGGCGCGTGCTGACGCGCGCACGCGCAAGCTCACACGTTGCGCGATTGAACGCACCGACGGACGCCGGCCGCGTCATCGAGGTCAATGCATAGTGCGATGTCGGGAATGCCTACGACCATCCCCTGCCGCTTAGGCCTAGCTGCAGGTCTCTCTCATCTCCGCCTTTGTTGTACGATCACAAGTTTCGTCCTTGTGCTAGTTTTTTTTTGTTTTAATTGTTTTCGTACTTTGGTCGGGCTTTCCGTGTTGCCGGAAATTTGATTTACAGGTTTTGAGACAGTCATCAGAAAGCAAATATGTGACAGATGCCGCGTGTGTTGTATGCACGTGTGTTGTGTGCGTGCGTGTCTGTGTGTGTGCGTGCGTGCGTGCGTGCGTGTGTGTGTGTGTGTGTGTGTGTGTGTGTGTGTGTGTGTGTGTGTGTGTGGTGTGTGTGTGTGTGTGTGTGTGTGTGTGTGTGTGTTTCGGAAGGTGCCCAGCAAACGAGATGTCCACGCTGTTCGTCTCGCTGTTCGAGTTGTCGTGGTCTTTCAATACGTTTCGAGGTAAAAGGTTGAAAAGTGCGTAAAGGACGACACGCATAAGGCAGGCAGGCAAGGAAGACGCTACTTGACACAAACACTTACGCTTTTATGCCTCATCAAGTGGGAACGGTGACTGTCAACGCAAACGCTAACAATAAAAGTATTATCTTGTTTATTACGTGGCTACAATAAGTCATCATGGCGCGACATATCCCCAACATTGTCATGCTTCAACGCGACATCCTATGACGGGACGTCACAAGATCGCGTCATCGCGTATGGCACGTTCGCACAATGGGGTCCCGAGTTCGAAGTAGGTGCAGGGCTGGCCAGCCTTCTTTCTTTCTCTTCGGTTTTATTTTTCTTTGCTCCTTTCTTTTTCTCCTTTCCCGCTGTTTTTTGCGTTCTTTTTCTCTTTGTTTTCATGCATGCATTTCTTGCTCTCCCTTTGACTGTTATGATGCCTGCAGTTTTACGTCCCCAATCCATGAGTTTCACATCCCAGACGAAGAATTTGATTATGAAAGGGAAAGAAGACAACCCACCTGTTTGTAGTGCGAAGCACAAGGAAGTCCGTATGAATTTATGATAAAAAAAAAGCCCCTTGGTTGCCGAAAAATTCATCCTCGTCCAGGGCACGAACCCTCCTCTTGAACGGAAAGATCGTTTTCTCGTCCATTTTAGTTTATCAGATAATTATTATCCTATAGGGAAAAACAACAAACACTGACCCTATGTTTTTCTTGAATTAAAGTTTTGTTGGTTTCAGTTGACTCAGTCTAACAAACAAGCTCATTTACCATTTCTTTTTTTTTCCGTTGCAACTGTGAAGATCTCATTCACATAACTATCAGTTTTGTAGACCAAAAGCTTTCAGATCAGCAGAATATGAACCTATTTACAGCTAACTACATAGCCTAACTATACAGCTTATGTACAATGCTTATAAACATTACAATTCACAATACAAATATATCAAACCTTCTTAAATAGAACAACAACAACAACAACAACAACAACAACAACAACAACAACAACAACAACAACAACAACAACAACAACAACAACAACAACAACAACAACAACAACAACAACAACAACAACAACAACAGTAAAAATGCGGAAGCCATCGCGCTAAGTCGCGTAAAGCATCAAACAGAAAAAGTGCACCATTCTGAAGACCAATCTGGTTGAGTCCGTGGTTTCTAGGCCTTAGCTAGACGACTTACGTTGTTATTAGGTAGTTTATTGCACTCATATGTCATCGAAAACAGCAACAAAAGCTTCACAACCAACTCATGAAGACGGAGGAAACATAAGTGGGCTCCGCCGCAATGCGATAAATGTATGTGGTGAAGCATACAATACTTAGAAGCGGCATTATAATTTAACAGCGTAGCTAAATGCAAAAGTGTGTTTTTTTTTTCGAAGAAGCACGGGCTCCCGTTTGAGACCCACTATCCTGGTAGATATTAAGAGGAATAACTGTACCTAGGCAGGCAGTCGACCCGCGCCGGGCAGAAGATGGAAGGGTGATATATTGTAACAATATTAATTGTTGGCCTAATTGGTACTTGCTTAATACCGTGTTGTGTTTGTGCTATTTGCGGCCAAAGCATGTCATTAAAACAGAAAATGAGAATGGTGATAATGAAATATGCACATATCTTGTCATCACTATGAATACCACCAAAGTTGTAGTAACCATCACCGAAAGTATAACTATGCAAGTGAGTCTCACCAGTCCTTTTGTGCACGTTCAGCCACTCCTGCGAAAAGCTATAGTATCCTACTTGCCACTTCTTGCAGAATTTATCACCTTCAAGCCAGCCATTTCCTACAACCCGTCTTTCAAACTAATGTTATTGATACTGTGGAGATCAAAATTTAGGACTTGACAAAACCCTTATTTTCACTCATTTGTTTTTTTTTATGTGCATATATGTATCTGCTTAAAGTTAGCTGTGTATACCACCAAGTTTGATCAGCAGGATACACAGATCTTCACTCATTTCTCCGAGCCCATATTCAACACCGTTTTCAGTGGAACGAAAATCGAAGCCCTGCGTTTTAACAACACGATCAGAAAGCAGATATGCTTACCGCAACCGCTTAATGCAAGGGTAAAAAAGAAACTGTGGCATTTCGCATTTTCAAATTTATCTTTAAATCATTCATTTGCTCCGACAGATGGGAACACACTTTGCGCAAGTAAGAATAAGACGACTGAAAGACGCTGTTACATGTGTCGACATTTCAAAAAAAGTAGGTTCACTTATGTGAAATGTCGGCAAGCCTGTCCTAGCCTTCATGGTTGCTTATAAAAGTTTTTACCCCAAATTCGTAGCGGTGAAATGGTGATGGTTAGTTTCTCTAATTTAGTATTAGCAAACCATCTTGGCAGAAACATATGATTACATTTTTAGTGATAAAAACACAGAATAAGCTCTTCAGATTTCACAATCCTAGAGCAATATTTTGTCATTTCACTCGCTTGTTCATATCTAACCAAGTGCCTATGTTTTCTCTTCCTTCTCACGTGCGTTTGGCCGTGGTTCGCCACCAGCGACTCCCCATGAAGGACTTCGGCGCCGAAGTGAGGGCATCCATGGACGTTGATCAGTTCCTCATTCAAGCCGTACTCCTCCTGGACGTGCAGGAGACCTCGCTCGAAGGCATTGTCGACAAAATGCTACAAAAGGTCAGTAACCTTCTTCCTACTGTACATTGCTGGGACGGCTTTTCTTACGGCTCAAGGACAGCCGCCGTGAACAGCAAAATGCCCCTGTATGACTCCTCTCTTCAACGAAAGTTGTTTCCATTATATGGAAGCCTTTGACAACCGATTACCCGTGTTAAAGGTTTAAAGGGTTATCATCATCATCATCATTGTCGTCGTCGTCGTCATCATCATCATCATCATCATAATCATCATTAACCTGACTATGCCTACTGCAGGGCAAACACCTCTCTCATGTACCGCCAAGCAATCCGATCCTGTGCTTTCTGCTGACACGATATACCTGCAAACTTTTTATTATCATCTGCCCACCTAACTTTCCGTCCCTCTCCACTCGTTTGCGTTCTCTTGGAATACAATCAGTTAGCCTTAATGACAGCGATTATAAAGTAGTTATGAAAGGAAGTAAAATGATGTACTGGGCCAGCTGGTATAGATTCGGGGCGAGGCTTAGCGCGTATAAAATAAGACAAAGAAAAGATGACACTAACAAAAAGGCGCTGACTGATAAATGATGCTTATTGAAAAGAAATCTCTCCTTAGAGATGGCAGTAACGTCACAACAAACCATGCCAATGATATGCCTCCACGTGAACATCTTTGAACAAAACAAAATCAAAGACGTTTTTTTTAACAAGCGTGAAAATAAATAATCCCCTGAGGCAAATACACAGATAATTGCACACCTGAATGTTGTCTTGTAGGTTGCTTATTTTTTTTTCCCAGAAGGTATGCATACCCAGCCTTCGTCAAAGCAGGTATGCCCTTGGGACGCTCTTCAAATGTTTTAAGACTGGAAAGAAGCAGTTGAATATTAGTTGTAGAAGATTTCTTTAGGCATAGACTTTAATTGCTGCAGTGTACAAACTAATTTCGACCTGCAGTTCCTTCTAACCAGCTCGTCAAGGCGGCTGAGCGTCGTGATAATTGATGATCCTTCTGCCAATAGGCTGTTAAAACCTTCGTAAAAATAGATAACCACTCTGGTCCAGCGAGACAAACCCGCAAAACTGCCCTTCATTGGTAATATGTGCTATCTGAGCCTTGCTTAAATGCAATACTTATGGAAGCTAGTAGACTGTTCACGATTTTCAATATTCACTAGAAGGTATTTTAGCTGCAAGTGGTGCCACCTAAGGCATACAGGAATTTCGTTTTACTCATGCCCGGGAGTAAGGCTTCGACAGATTCAAAATACAACGTTGGTATTGTTTGCTACAATGGTCATTTACCGTTCACAGACAACACCTGCTGGCACGCAGAATTCCTGCGCTCGATTCCCCCTCAAACCGGTCATTTGCTTTATTTGCATCCGTCTCGAATTTCTGTTTACAGACCACCGATTTTTCGCTCATAGCCAGCGATGCCGATGCTGACAACAAAATTTCCGTGAGACGAGGTCCCTGACGCTATCGCATGAAAACTTTTGCTCGCTTTCAGCAAATCGTCAGTCAGTCAGTCAGTCAGTCAGTTAAGAACTTTCTTAAATGGTCCTGAGGATCTTAAGCCACAGGGGTGTCCACGAGGGACATTACATAGCAGCCGCTACTGTAGGCGACGCCCGAGTCGGGGCGGGAACGTGGTGGCGTTCCGCCAGTTCTTGAGCCATCTTGACTGCCTTTTGCTAGTTTCCTAGACTGGGGCTCCAGAGTGCCTCCTCCCAGTCGGAGTCACTGGTGAGAAGTTGCCGACGTAACACGGGACATTGCCAGAGCCTGTGTTCGAGTGAACAGTACACTTGTGAGCAGTCTGGGTATTGTGAATCTATGTCTGAGTTGTAGAGTAAAAATATGTATGGCCCAGAGAAAACGAATATACGCGTCAAATGGAAGCGATGTACCAACCCCAGCGACGAGAACTCACGTGCAAAGAGCTGTCCATAATGCTCCGACGCGTATAGCTTAGATGAGAAAGTGTCCACTGCCATGGCAACGAAACGTCAAAGCAAACACCACCAGGATCGTCATCAGTTACCAGGCGTATCGATTTCCGAACGGTCGCAAGCGGACACACGTGGACAAATGTCCAACGAGCCCCCCTATCTAAATCGACTCGACAGCTATTCCACGATGTCTAGCAGCGGCGTTGTCACACAGGTGGCATGACCAATCGTCGAATGTCCTTAACTTGCTCTTCTTTCTCAAGCCGTTCCGCAACGTTGGATTATAAATCGCCATAATGATTCTAATCACCCGCTATCATCATCCCTGGCTCCGTTGTTAAAGCAACTTTGTCGTAGTTTTAAACTTACGCCTGAGTCGAGAACCATCTGTGGCTACAGTTGCCATGAAGCCGTTGCTGCGCCGTCTGCAGGTGATTTTTACGTCAAACGTATGAGTGCCCTCCCACCACTTTAGGCTGTTTCTTACTTTTTAGTATCGTCGGGAGATATTGTTAGGATCACGAAACGTTGAATGCATCAACCCAAGAGCTTTCACGCATATGCGTGTGCCATGGCACTGTTCATTTAGTTGCTATTCACACAATAGGGCAAAGCTGCCACCCTGTGTGCCGGCGCCGAAATCCACCTTTAATTGATAGATATGTTGGGTTTAACGTCCCAAAACCACCATATGATTATGAGAGACGCCGTATTGGAGGGCTCCGGAAATTTCGACAGCTTGGGGTCCTTTAGCGTGCACCCAAATCTGAGCACACGGGCCTACAACATTTCCGCCTCCATCGGAAATGCAGCCGCCGCAGCCGGGATGTGATCCTGCGATCTGCGGGTCAGTAGCCGAGTACCTTAGCCACTAGACCACTGCGGCGGGGCCCAAAATACACCCTTAAAGAGTTCATACATAGCCAGACGTTAGTGGTACTACATAAGCGCAAAAAGCGAAACAGAGGGTTTGCCCGTTATTTCTATACCTTGGGCTCGCAAGTACTTGCTGTTGGGTTAGTCGTATGATACTGTTCACAATTCATACTGAGGCAAATTTGGTGCTTGTCTTGCTCATTTATCTTCTTCTTGTAGCTAAAGTTGTTATGAGATCCCAACAACCGGTTTCTACGGTGTAGTTCTCCAACACTGCTGGTGTCGTTAACCGTTATCGCACAGAATGATGAAACAAGTTATCCCGGATTGGGCAGGATTTGAACCTGCACCCTCCGCATGGCAGTCGAGTATTCTACCAAACAGTCACACCAACGCTATTTTTGTTCTTTATGCGTGGAAGTAATGCCATTGAGTATTGTCATGAACTCCAACACGGTTCATCGTTTCAGAATGACGTTCCCACGCACACATGTGCAAAACACAATTTTACACAGCGCGACGAATCTTCGAAAGTACGGTAAACAAACACAAGCGTCCAAAAGTTCAAGCCACTCCGGAACAGTGTCGAAATGTCAACAATTCGCATTTCGGCTGCTAGTTCTAGCAAAATTGACCTTCTCTGTCAATAGTGCGCCTCCAGCATAATGCATAAAGACTCAATAACATAATTAAATCCTTTGTGGAATTATTGTTGATGCTATGTTTGAACGGTAAATAACCCCAACACCATGAGCCAGCACTTGAAACACCTCCGCAAGAAGACCCTATGCAGGCGTCATGTCGGCCAAGGAAACACGTAAATATGTGTATTATAACGTTGTAGAAAAATAATGAAATACAAGCCAGTAGCTAGGAAATACGAATTGCGCTACCATTGGGTCGTTTAATGCTCGCAACCCATTATGAAGGGCTGGGCCATAATTCTCCAATGTCACCGGCCTCAGCATAAGCTAAGTGTTCGAATGCCTTAAAGGTGCGTAGCAGTCACCTCGCTTCTCTACACTGCAGAATGATGAATAATAGCTTACTCGGTGCTTACCTACTTCAAAGAAATTTGATTAATTATGATGTTGTGGATACCTTGCAAATGTAGATGTATGCACCTTTTTACTGAAAGACCTATTGCGGCTCCTTATGACACCGCCATAAGCCCCTCTGGGCTGTTGCTAACATGCGTGACCCCCAAAATGCAGGGCTGAAGCTGTGACCTAAGCTTTTGTGCTCCCGTGCAACAGCACCCCCCCCCCCCCCACCTCCGAAAAAAAAAGGATTTCTCCTATCCGCTAAAAAGGTCTATTAATTGCTTTAGGAGAGTCTACAACGGACTCTGGGCAGGCCACTCATTCAGCTTTCGCTGCCATTGAGCTGTGTGTTCTTGCGCAGGGCTGGTGCTTTTTTCATCGTTGGGCGCTAAGTGACCACGTATAGCTTATGGTGAGCTCTTGGTGCATTAAGGACGTAGCCAAAAAAATGTAGTCATGAAAGAAAATGGCAGGGTTGTCGCATACTTTCTGTATGCTCGCGTGTGCATTTGCATGTGTTTGTACATACACACAATTTGAAAATTCTAGGGGGGCTTTCAACCCCCTCCCCTTCTGGCTAATGATTGATATGTGCGGTTCATCGTCCCAAAACCACCATATGATTATGAGAGACGCCGTAGTGGAGGGCTACGGAAATTTTGACCACCTGGGGTTCTTTAACGTGCACCCAAATCTAAGCACGCGGGCCTACAGCATTTCCACCTCCATCGGAAATGCAGCCGCCGCAGCTGGGATTCGATCCCGCGACCTGCGGGTCATTGGTGGAGTACCTTGGCCACCATACCACCGCGGCGCCCCCCCCCCCCCCCCCTTCCTACTGGCTTCACCAGTGGTCTATGACGATCGAGAGCACGCCACCATGGTGGGGGAAACAGTGTTGCGTTTGCGCCGGTCGATGTTTTCTGGGGATGCACTTATCATAACGTGTACACTCGATGGAAGGGAGATCGTTTTTTGGTTCGCCTCCCCCTCTTTCAAGCCCCCCCCCCTTTGTGTTTTGCATGCATCTGACGAATATATCGACCGTTCGCCCACGTAACACGTACTTTTAGACGTCCATTAGGTCTCGCTGTTTCAAATGGTGGTCGTAGTAACCACTCGAACGAAAGAGAGGCGACGACGCAGTTTGGTTGCCAAGG